TGTGTGTGTGTGTGTGTGTGTGTGTGTGTGTGTGTGTGTGTGTGTGTGTGTGTGTGTGTGTGTGTGTGCGCGCGCCTCTTCTTTGTTCGATGCGCAAATAACATCAACAACGCTGCTTGCAACATGCTCAACCGCTCGCTCCCCATCGAGCTCTTCTTGCCGCACGGCTCTTCTGTGTGCCGGCACAGAGCTCCGTGCAAGCCTTCCAGCGTGATAGGAACGAGTGTATCGCTTTGACGGATCGACCGTGCTTGTTATCCACATCGATGTGACGCACACAGTGACACATCAACGACACACATTCTCCCACCCGCCGGGACGCAAAACGCTCTCGACGAGAGCCACAAGAAGGCGGCCACACAGCAAGCCGCTCGGTCGATCACGTTGCTCGCTCGATGCCGGCGAGCGCATGGCGCACGCCTTGGTGCTTGGACGGTGGCGAGGCCAAAAACACCGGCAGTGGCCGTCCGCTGGCGTGAGCGGCGGCGGTCGAGACCTCACCCTTCGCGCCGACGACCCAACCTCACGCCGAACAACCCAGCAGCACCGTGGCGATGGCGCTAAGAGGTTCCTCTTTTCCGCGCCCCCCCCGCAAGGCGCGCGATACACACCCAACCCAACAACCCAACCGAGAGAGAGAGAGGGGTCTTCCGCGGGGGGAGCTTCGTCGACGGGTGCGGGACTGCGGCGCAGACAGTGCTGCGGCGATGCCTCCGGCTGCTGTGGCGAGTGGTGTGCTGCTCGCTGCGATGGCGAAGAACTCGTCTCGTCACACGCCAAGGGCTTACGCTCTGTCGAGACGTGAGGCGTATGCGCCCAGGAGGGGAGGGCGCATGCGTAACGACGCTGCTAGAGATGCCTTTCGGGGCCCAGAGATAAAACTTCTGATGCCATGCGTGACCTAGTAGTGTCCCCAGCTATGGGCGTGTCCACGTTGGAGCCAGGTGTGGTGTGGACGCGAGAATAGCTCCGCCGTTCATGGAGGCAACCGATGCGAGTCGACTGGTGTGTGTCGTCGTGGTTTCGTATCAAGAATTCTCTCTCTCCAACAACCCAACCCAACCCAAAAAGCACGATTCTCAAGTTGGGCCCTCGAGCTACAGGAGCACAAGAATACGTCTTCCGCTTCTGGGCGTGGCTGCCATACGGGTCCGACTCAATCGGCTTGGCGTAGTGTGCACGTATGAAGAACAGTCGGGCTCGGCCGGAACACAGTGCGCCGTTTCCGGAAAAAGGAGTGGTGAGACAACTGGCGTGAGTGATCTACGCAGTGGAGCGTGACCTGACATTCGCGGGGGTCGCAGCTGCCTCTGCGCGTCCTGGAGATGTACCAAATTGTCGCCGCCGGAGACGACTCGACGCCGCTGAGATCGGAGATCAAGCTCTGACAAGTCGCACGTTGCTCCTTTGACGCCGACGTGACTCCTGCAGAGCACATCAGGACACGGTCTCGACGCGCTCGGTACGACGCCTGCGACCCGTCTCGGGTCAGGTGGCGCGACGCTCATCGCGCCTGCCAGCGCTGCCGTACAGATGCCACGACGAGGTCAAGCACGCTTCTATACGCTCGCCCAGCCTTCCTTTCCATCCCATTAGGCAGCCTGGGAACGGTGGCGGTCAGAGGCAAAGCCTACGAGGGGTGGTGGAACCACATGTCACGGCTACTGCCGGCTCGACCCCACGATAGCCTCCGGAGGCTGACTTTGCGGCACAATCATCGGACGATGTCGACGAGTTGGGTCGCTCTCGCGGTAGCCAGATGAGCTCTCATACTAGTATCATCGGCCATGGCCGCAGAGAGCGCGGGGGAGGGCGCTGGGAGCAACACGGAGCTCCGTTGGACGTTTTCAAGATTAGCGTGTCAGAGTGAATTGGAACTAGCCATTGGGAGTCTGCTGGGTCGACGCACGACGGTCGTGGGCCTCGCGAGTGCGGAGTGGTCGTGCGTCTCGATCGAACTTCGAAGTATCGTCTATTTGTCTTGAGGGATGTGGCGCGGCTTGCGACACGGCGGCAGCCGGGACGCTGGAGCCGGCACGCGCCGCGGCAGGCCCGGCGCACGCACTCTCACAACAAACCTAAAACTTCAGACGTCTCGCACGCTCTCCAGTCGTACTCGTAGCTCCAGTCTGCAGTCACAGCTGAGAGACCGCCGGGGGCCCGAATCCCAATGAAATGGCCGGCCGGGTTCCGAACATGGGCTACACACTCTCGAGCACGACCTCGCCGCGGGGAGGGGGGGGGGGGGCGAGTGGTGCTGCCGGAAGAGCGGTGGGTCGCGGCAGGCGGACAAAGGTTGGGGCGGGCCGGCCGGAGTTATGGGGAGATATGGGGAGATGTGATAATCTCAGGTGATCCGGGGCGGAGTAATCTCCGGTGATCTGGGCGGCGTCGTCCCATGCACATCTGACACCCCCCCTCGCCCAAGATAAAGTGCCTGACGTCATGAGCCGTTCCACACACGCACTGATCCAGCTTCGAGTTAACTCGAGAAGCCTCAATTGTCTGCAGCATAGCTGAGTATCCGCACTTCTCACCACTGGGTCGAGCCCGCGCCCCCACCCCCTTCAGAAGTAGTAAGACTCCTGATCCTCGTCCACCTTGCCTCTACCCCACTCTCGCCAGTAGTAATCCCCGCCCTGACCAAGTCGAATAGCATGTGATTTCTCCCGCTGTGCTCGTCATCCCCTAGCTTTTCCCGAATCATGTTTCTTGCCCACATCATCTGAAGTCGCTTCCCCACCTCTGAGAACACCTTCCCTCCAATCGCAAGTGAGCTGAGCTGGTTCCCACTCTCCCCGTCCACTCGGCCATAGTCTGTGACCCCAATCAGAGTCGCGATTGAACGACGCACGAGCAGTTCTGGCTCCCTCAGCACTCCCTCTGCTACCCATTTTGCAACCGCATCCACCATTGCCACAGCCGAAACTGAGGGAGGGTGTAGAGGATGAAGAGTGTAGAGCGCTGTAGAGATGTAGAGCGCTCTGGAGCGCTGTAGAGCTGTAGAGCTCTACATCCGCCGCGGGACGATGTGAGTCCGATGTAGAGCGATGTAGAGGCGCTCTACAACGTGAAATCTCTATCGCGATCTCGCCCGGCGCTCGACGTCGGGTCCTCGGCCGCCATTGCGGTCGGCGCCACCACCTCCTCCCGCCCCCCCCGCAGCCACTGCCGCGCGGCCGCCAATGCGACCGACCCCACCCTCCTTCCCCGACCCCGCCCTAAACGCCCCCGACAGCGAAGCCCGCGCCGCGCGCGGCACCCCCACCGACTCTGCCTCCGACCCCAGGGCCTAGGCGGCCCGCCATGAAATCTAGCCGTGTGTGCTGGCGTCCGGGTCCCAGCGGGTTTTCACGTAACAAGTACACACCACCCACACAACATTTACCAGCCCCGTCGGCCACATCAAATGCAATTAGGGAACCCCCCCGAAAGCGTCGGAATCTCGCTCACACATGCTCCTCGCCGCGCCGCTCCTCTCTCTCAGCCTCGTGCTCCACCCTGCACTCATGCGCACTGCGCCCATGCACTCTGCGTCCATGCCCCTTGCGCCCATGCGGAGCGTCACGTTCATGGCCGACCAGCCAACAGTTGAGCCACCCGTGTATGACGTCGACGAGGTGCAGGCGGGGGAGGCAAAGGCGGCGGCGGAGGCGGCAGCGGCGAAGGCGGCAGAGGAGGCGGCGGCAGTGAAGGCGGTAGAGGAAGCGGCGGCGGCAAAGGCGGCAGAGGAGGCGGCGGCGGCGAAGGCGGCGGAGGAGGCGGCAGCAGCAGCGAAGGCGGCGGAGGAGGCGAAGGCGGCGAAGGCGGCAGAGGAGGCGAAAGCGAAGGCGGCGGCGGAGGCGGCTGCAGCGAAGGCGGCGGAGGAGGCGAAAGCGAAGGCGGCGGCGGAGGCGGCAGCGGCAAAGGCGGCAGCGGAGGCGGCGGCGAAGGCAGCGGCGGAGGCGGCAGCGGCAAAGGCGGAAGCGGAGGCGGCGGCAGCGGCTAAGGCGGCGGAGGATGCGGCGGCGGCGGAGGCGGCTCGCCAGGCCACCGCACCGGCTGGTTTCGTGTGGGGTGAGACCTATTGAGCGATTGACTCGCGCCGTTTTCTCCAATTGTCCAATACTGCCGTTATTGGGCACAAACCCGCCTCTGAAGACACATCTGTATGTGTAAGTCTGGTGCACTGGCAGGAGCAATACTCGCATAGGGGACGTCCCCCCTACCGGCGCACGCATTGGGCGTCGCCGTGAGCAACCAAGCATCCCAAAGCTGACTTGTGTGGCTGCTTGTGCTGCCTGCTCATGAGCAGGCAGCACAAGCGCTCAGGCCTCAGCAGGCAGCACAAGCAGCCACACAGAGTTGGGCTGGCGGCCGTCTCTGATGCCCGTGCTGCGAAAGTGCTCCGACGGACCGGGAGGGTCGGGGGTGCCATTTCTTTTGACGGTGTTCATCCGGAAGACGTTGAGGTCGAGCGAGTCGATGTGGTCAAAGTTGGCATCCGTTGTCTCTGTAGCCACCTTTTCCGAGATGCCGACGCGGAGCAGGGCGTCAAACGTCTGCTGCTTGGTGATCAGGCCCGCCGGGCTGGGCACGAGGTCTCCGTTCTTGACGAGGGCGCTCATCACCGGGCAGGTGATGCGCCTCCAATCAGGGTCAGGCTCGTCGGGCGGAGGCGGTGAAGGCGGTGGCAGCCGCGGTGGCGGCGGGCTCGGGGGTGGTAGCGGCGGGGGCGGGCTCGGAGGCGGGAGTGGCGGCGGCGGCACAGGTGGCGACGATGGTGGCGGAGAGGGCGGCGGAGAGCTCGGTGGCGGCGAACGCGGAGGCGACGAGGGCGGAGGCGGCGAGGGCGGCAGCGGGGAGGGAAGCGGCGGCGAGGGTGGTGGCGGCGAGGGCGGTGGCGGCGAGGGTGGCGGCGGCGAGGGCGGCGGCAAGGGCGGAGGAGGCGAGGGCGGTGGCGGCGGTGGCGGAGGAGGCGAGGGCGGCGGCGGCGACGGAAGTGGCGACGGCGACGGCGGTGAGGGCGGAGGGGGCGACGGAGGGGGTGGCGACGGCGACGGCGGCGAGGGTGGAGGAGGCGAGGGTGGTGGCGACGGCGGCGTGACCGTTTTTCACATACCTACATACCCGATTTTTACCATCTCGCATCGGGCGCAGCGGGTATCGCCGAGGACTTATATATACACGGAGAGGGGCTGGGGGGGGGGGGGGGGTAACATTCAATAGCTATGGGCCCGCAGGGTCAGCAGCGCGCCGACGCGGACCTCGACGCACACACCGCCGCCTCGCTCTCTAGCAGGCGGTGGCGGCCGCCGCGGAGGATGGACCGGCGGTGCGGAAGGTTGCCTGCGGGCAGAAGGGGTGAGGGCTGTAAGTGGAGCGGGGGAGGGGCGGTTGGGGGTGGGAGGGAGGAGGCGCGGCCTGCTTGCGGCGCGGCGCCTTTGCTCCGTTACACACACACACACTCCTGACAGAAACTAGGTAGGTAGGTAGAAAGGTGAAGAACAGCCAGGCTCGGACTGGACACCAACGCGGTATGGGTGGACGCTGGACAGATGATGACGACACGCACGAGCGACACACAGAAGAAGAAGAAGAAGAAGAAAAATCTCACACAGACACAAACAAGCTCACAAGACACACAGCCAGCGGGCTGCCACACACCCTGAGTCGGCTTACACATAACTCAAGGCCATATCCTCCCTGTCGCCCCCCCCAGCACTCCACGGTGCCAAGAGACTTAGAGTCCTTACAGACAAAAGAAATCACGCTGCCCTCGGGCCACTCGGCCATGAAAAGCGCACAAGCAAGAGAGGCGCGGCCATTGTATCATGTATCTTATTCGGACCCCCCCCTTCGCGCTTCTCGTTTTTCGTGCCAAACCAGCGCGATCTCGGCGGGGCGTCAGCGCCTCTCGGAGGGGCATCATGCGCTCCCGGGGCCGCCCGACGGCGCGGGCCTCTTGCCGATGGACCCAGCCGAGGTGCCCAACCAGTTGGAGCGCGCCGACGCGCTGCGCGCGACCACCAGCCAGCTTTCCGGCCGGGCCGAGAACGGTGTGTCGAGAAAGTAGACACTCAAAGTAGCAGCCGCTTTTTTTGCCTCTTTTTGAGCGCGGCTGCTGCACACCCTGCCCACCAGTGATACTAGAAGCACCAGATTTACCCCGTCGCGAGCTTGACCGCGACCCCGATGACCGCCCACAGGTGGCTGATCGCGGCGCCACTCATCGCTGCTTTTCGGCGCCTGGCTCTCAGAGGGCCCCTGCGGCTCTCGCTCGTCGCGCGACCGCCGCCGACATCATGTGCTTGGTCGTCCCCGCCGGCACGGAGCTGCGCCACGTCGAATTGTTCGGCGGCTCGACCGCCGGCGCGCCCACCCTCGCCTCCTGCGCGCCTCACACCCAGAATTCTCCTCGCGCGCGGCCGACAAAGTAGGCACACGACCACCTCCCTCCCACTCACCCCCCCCACGATGCACAGCCCGTCCACTCTCGCCGGCAAGGCGCACGGAACGCCCAATTTGGGCTGGAAATGCCGCCGCCACGGGTTGGTGGCGCCCTCGGCAGCGGGGCAGCGCCACGCCGCGCAAACTTGCGCGACAAACTTGCGACCTCTGTCCCTCGTATTCACCCCAGATTTTGCCCTATCCAGGCTCACCCGGTACCGCGAGCGGCGAGCCGCGCCAAGTTTGCTCCATTTCCGACAAGTTCATCCCGCCCGAACGCCGATCTTCGGCCGCCTGGAGGCCCAGGACGGGGCTCGGGACCGGCCAGGTGTGGATTCTCCTCGGCGCTGCGGTGTATCTGCGCGCCCATGGCGCGTTCAGGGGTGCGCCTGAGGCGTGTAGACTGCGGGGCGCCGCGATAGCGCGGCGCCGACGATTGTGTCAGCTCACTGTCACACCGTCGACACGGTCACAGTGTGTGTGCAGTGCGTCCACTCCGGCGACCGTGACGCCGTCGGCGCTCGTCAAAAACATCTACTGTGGAGCTATCAGTGTGGTTGCGTGTTGCACTAGTACTGTTGCACCAGGCGGCCCGTTTTTAGCAAAAAGCAGATACCACATCGCGCGTGGTCATCGAAAAACCGCATCTTCGCCCGTCTGGGACCTCTTCGTACGGCTCCAAAAACCGCTCCTTAACGACGGCTACGCGGCCCGGCGGTCGATCTGCGCCTGCTCAGCGGTGGAGGGGATGTGGGCGGTACGTGCGTACCGCGTGGTGTTGCGACGGTTTGACGATTGCGACTCCCAGCGTCGACTTTTCGACCCCACGGAGCCTCTGCTGCTCCGGGGGGGGGGGGTCTGCAGACCACCCGGCCGAACTTCAGAGTGGCGGTGCTCCTCAAATACCGCTCAAATACCCACGATGTTGTGGAGGGGACATATGCTGATGATCCTGGCCCGATTGGTTCCCTCAGAAAGCTTCTGGGCGGTCGCTAAGGTTCGCTCCCCGCACACGGGCCCCGGAATAAGTTACATCATAATTGTGCAGGCAACGTTACAGCCGGCAACGTGCATAGGCAGCAAAGCTCGGCCACGACGTCCATGGCCCGCGCCCCCCCGATTTGCCACCGGCGGCCTGCAGGCCAGCGCCGAGCAGCGGACGACGGCTGACCGACTGCTGACCGAGGCAGCGCCCACGGCAGCGCCCACGGCAGTGCCCACGGCAGCGCCCACAGCAGCACCCACGGCAGCACCCACGGCAGCGCACACGGCTTGGCTGGCCATGTCAGCCGCGCAGGGACCCTCCCGCGGGTCCAACCCGAAGCGCTCGACCGCTCGACAGCGCAAGTCGGCTGACGGAGCGAGCCGCATAGCCCTCCAGTGCTCACCGCAGGATCAGGCCTGACCGGCCCACGCTCACGGCCTGGCCTGCCTGTGGACCAGCAAACTCGTTGGCTGTACGCGAGGAAAGAGCTGCGTGGCTGGGTCGATACCGTCCCCGTGCGCCCTTTCCCTCAGTGGAAGGCCGTCCCTGCCCTCGGGAGTAACTCGACTGTACACCCCTCCCTACTCTCTAGCTAAGGGCTCTATTCACAGCGGGGGGACAGTGGTTGTCCTGGCGGAGTCCTGACGGAGTCCTGATAGAGTCCTGACGGAGTCCTGACAGAGTCCTGACAGAGTCCTGACAGAGTCCTGACGGAGTCCTGACAGAGTCCTGACGGCCTATTTTGGAGTTTTTCAACTTTGAGGTATTGTAACTATGTGAAGGCACTATGAATGCATCAGTTCTTTGGGAGAGTGCAATCCATTTAGTTATTACCTCCAACTCAAAAAAAGTCTGGTGGCAAACGGACAATGGGGTCCCTTATGGTGGCCTCTAAGGGTAAGTTGTGGGAGCTCCACAAACCAGGTTTGTCATCATCATCTGTCCAGCGTCCACCCATACCGCGTTGGTGTCCAGTCCGAGCCTGACTGTTCTTCACCTTCCTACATACGTGGGGGTAGAAGATCAAGACCAAGAGAAGAAATCTCTCTCTAGAAGATTGCGGGGGGTATCGACTTCCTTGTAGTACAGCGGTAGGGTGCCCACAGGACCCAAAAAAGAAAAGAAAAAAGAAATGGGCCACCCCCGATCGCAGCACTTCGTGTTGGAGAGTCGAGATATTGAGAGTGTGACTAGGAGGGAGGGACGCTGGGGATTCTCAAAGGTACACCCTTGGAATGGCCGGATGTGCGGTTGTGCACGACCACGAGACATTGGGCGGCGTGATACCCCCCGCGTAGGTCCGGCTGATTAGCGCTACGGTCCGCGTAGGTGAGTCTTGTGTGAGTGAGTGAGTATTCTTGATACGAAACCACGACGACACACACCAGTCGACTCGCATCGGTTGCCTCCATGAACGGCGGAGCTATTCTCGCGCCCACACCACACCTGGCTCCAATGGTACCCTAGACGAGTGAGGTAAGGGTGACTGAGCCGTGGGCAGGGCTTATCCGGAGCCTGCAGAGCAGCGGAGCCGGCTGCGGACGTGGAGAGGTGCCTCCGTGTCTAGGTGTGAATAGGGGTCCGCTGTGATCATTCACAGTGGGGGGGGTACAGGAATTGTATGCCCCTGCTGGCTGGTCCGGGATAGGCCCCCGTTGGCCCGGGGGAGCTGCGGCTAGCGCCCAGTCCCCCGCGTGTCGTCGTCGCCAGCACTAAGAACGGAGCCGTTTCGTCCAGTTGGCGTAGAAGGGCGTTGTTGCTTGCTGCTGTTGCTGCTGCTGCTGGCCGGCGGCGGTCGTCGTCGGTTGAGCTAGGGGGCCTGGCGATGGACGCCACCGCGACCCCTCTCAGTCCTCGACAGGCTCCGACGTCACGGGCACGACCTTGTTTTTGGGGTGGTAGTACTTAGAACAACAACCCGTGGTGTAAAGCGAACCCCCCGCCCTCCTAACCAGATTGGTTGGACGCGAACCCGGAAGCTCCCCGGGCCGATCCCGCGCCGAACTCCCGATGCTGCAACCCAGACAGACAAGAGCTGGCTCTGAGCCACCGCTGCTCGCACGCTAGACTGCCACAACGTATCAGACACTCCTCACTCCAAGACAGTACCCATCCACCCTCACGCACAGTTAGTGTTCAGCGCCCACCTCAAGGATTGGCCCAATGCCGTCCAGCTTTCGACCAGCGGCACCGGACCAAGGCCCGCGCATGCAGGGGTGGTCGGATGATCGATCTGCACATTACATGCGCGCCTTGCTTGGCTGTGTTCGCCTCCACCTACGTCATCTACAACTAGTTGCGGTTGCGTCCGATTAGTCGCGGTTGCCGGTGGTCTCAATTGCCGATTGCTCAACAAGCCGAAGCGTGATCCAAAATCAGCAGTACTAGTGAAACACTTGGCATTTACGGTCTCCGCGTGGGCGAGGCAAGGAGGGTGTGGCCACTGAAGGCATTCGGCACCCTGTGGTGCACCGCATTGGCGTGGTGCCGTGAAGTCATGGGGACTGCCGGTCAGGATCGCAGTAGTGGAAATCCTCATTCTGCTCCTTGCTCTTGCACATCTCCTCAGAAGAGTAGCAGTAATTGTCCCGAGAAGCGGGGGGGGCGAGGTCTTTGCCGACGATGCAAAGGCAGCGGCAGTTGAAGACGTCGGAACGCGGCCACGTGCTGGCGCAAAACTCTTTTGTCGGGACACATCCCGCCGTCATGTCCCCACAGTTACAACTCGGAAGCGGCGAAGGCGGAGGGAGCGAAGGAGGTGGCGGAGGGAGCGAAGGAGGTGCCGGAGGCGGCGGAGACGAAGGGCATCCCGACACTTGGAGGGTCGCTGTGTAACGCGGTCCGCCGAATCCGGGCGCAGCTACCATTGTAATCGTAAAGGGCTGATTTGGGTCTTCGACGTCGTCACATTTGAACCCGTCCATTTCGGTCCAGCAAGTTTTGGGGTCACAAACGTCAACGACGATCGATCCGGCCGAATCGTGTTTGTCACCTCCCTTTCCGTTGCCATCGAAGCCGCCGTTGTCATATTCCCTGACGGGTGGGGGCATATAGGTGTACGAGGTGTCAAGCTAGGCAGGGCGGGTGGGGGGGGGGGGGGGGGTGCGGCGGATAGCACCAGAACTGGAGCGTGAACTTTGTGTTGGGTTCGGCCCCCGGGATATGGATTGGGCAATGGTGGATCCGGTCGTCAGTGCAAGAATCCCCGTAGTTCAAACCCGAACTCGGCTTGCAGAATTCCCCCTTTTTCCCCTTTGTTGTGCATTTCCCGTCGTCATTGATCTCCTGGCAGTACCCGCCCACAAAGTCGCAGGTAGTCCACGACCCGTGGGAATTGGTGCCACAGAATTCAACTGCATCGTCGTTGAAGGTACCGCATGCGATTAAGTAGAACGGCTCGTCTCCGTGTTGCTCCTCTGGAACGTCCACATATAAGTTCATCACCTTCACGGAAAAGGTGTCTGACTTTTCCATCTGGGCGAAGTCGAGCTCGCGCTTGGGCGCCGCCGCCGCGGTCGTGTACGACAGCGCGCTGGTTATGATGAGGACGAGGGTGAGCATCGGAATGTACCTACATCGCAGCAGGCGAACGGCTCACGACTGGAGGGAGTGATGTGCAGGTGATGCGAGGCCGCGAGGGGAAAAGACTTCGGAACGGGCCGCAGCAGCGGGAGGGGGAAAGAGGCGTTGCGAGGCCACCGACCGAGCACGATGTGAGAGAAAGTGCTATCAAGATGCTCAGGAGTTTAGATGGGTAAAGAGTTGAAGTCAGAGGGCCGCACCTACTCGCAGCGTACACAGCTTGAGGCCCAGCGCCAAAAGTCCGCGGCACACCCGCCTCGCTCACGTTGTTTTGGATCTGCGAGGCGCGCAGGCGGCGGAGGGTGAGCGTCAGCAGCGTAAAATGGGATGAGCATGGCACGGGTTTGGTTCGGGCGTCGCGGGAGCGCAGAAGGCATGGAGGCGACCCGCGGCGCCGCGCTCAGCAGCGCTCCGACCGGCAATCCGATTGTGCCAGATTCTCGGAACGAGCCGCTCGCGCGGCGGTCGCAGCACGGCGGGCAGCTGCTGCACGAGCGCGCTGCAGCGCTTGGGAGATTGGGCGAAGCGGCCGGGCACGCTCGCGCAAAGGCCAACACGCGCCGCATCGCGCGGGGCGAGGGGAGGAGGCGAAGGGGCAGGGCAGCATTCCTCTTTTTGGTGTTCTGCCTTTCTGAGGTCGGGAGATGCCGTGTCTCGGATAAACCTGATCGACCGCCGTGTTTCGGTGGATTGACTGATCTCAACTTCTCGATCAAAAAGAGCGCCTTCGGCACTACTCTCTCGAGGTCTCGCGGATCTTATCAATCACACAATCAGCCCACGCCTCTCGCAGGTGTATGGCGCGCACGCCTCTCGCGCGCCTCAACGTACGGCACGCATGATTTAATAGCGTGCGCACGTGGGCGAACGCAGCTTTGAATGGTGCACGTGGTCGTCATAGGATTCGCATCGACCGGTATAACCCACGACCACTCGTCGAGAATCTGCAAGGCCGGTATGGCGGCCTCTCCTGTGCTAGCCCTTTGAGAGCAGAGTGCCGACACCAGGCGAGTGGATGCCTGCGCAAGGAGCGTTCGCCAATACAGCAGTGGCGGTGTGCGGGTCGAGACACGACGCGCCGAACCATCCGAGCTGCGGCGCCTCTCGCTGTTGGATGGAACTCCAGTGACGTGAGTCGCGCGATGAGGGTCCCATATGTCATCGCTACCCATTCCCAGTACCGCAATATCTGTCTGGTTGGAGGACCGACCCGTTCAGCATTGCCCCTCGAGGGGCGGCGAGTGCACGCGTTGTGCCCAACCAAACACGATCGATGTGTTGTGCCCTGCCGTCATCTGGCACGACATCGATGGGATTGTCCCGGCGGTCAAAAGAGCTCTTTTGGCGACGTACACGGTGCGATTGGCGAGGCAGTGTTTGTACTCGTCCTGCGCGACTGGATGATTTGGCTTGAGCTGCGGGAAGCCGCAACTTCGCGTGGCGCTCTGTGACGATCTCGCTGTTTCAATCGACGCACGCATGCGCACGGGGGTCCGCGGCAGTGCTTGAGCGCTTGCGCGGTAACTGGTTAGGTAGTCGGCTAAGTTCGCGCAGGGCGGAGAAGTGTGTATCGCCACGAGCCGCGCGGCGGCGGTCGCTGCGTAGCCGGCGGCGGCTCTCGGCGCCACGTTTGTGGCGAGTGCTGCAGTTTGCGCTCACCGGCGGCTAATCGCAGCCGCCGTCGACCTTCCGCCTTCAGACGAGTGCGGGGCGCCGTCAACTCGGAGCAGCGCGGCGCTGGCATGCCCCCCGCAACGAGCCTCGCGGAGGCGGTCGTGCAGCACCCGGAGAGGTCGCTCGAGGCCGTGTTCGAGGCGAGCATCGCACTTTGAGCGCGCTTTCGGCCCTGCTGTCTGCAATAGCTGCATGGCGCGGGGCAGTCTCTGGCACGATTGAGGCTGGCTGGGGCCAACTGGCCTGGCTCACAGGCGGCAGGCAGTGCTAGGGTGGCCTGGGCCGCCCTGCTCGGGTGTCGGGAGGCGTTGGATACCTCTTTGGTTGGAGTTCTCACGGGTCCCGGACCGGTCTGGAGTGCCTCCGGAGGCCCGTTTGACACCTGCACAAGGCTGGTAGTGTACCACGACACATAATGACCATGTATTTAGCTGCCCCGGCACTAGTAGCGATAGTGGGGTGCGTTTTGGTGTCAGAGAAAAGCGATCTTTGGGGGCTGGTGGTCGATTCCGCTAACTCCATGGCCCATACAAACAGAAAGCTTTTACAGATACTCACAAGTGCAGTACGATGTAGCCGCTCTCGGCCTCCCCTACATGCGTTCATCTTCAACAGTACGCACTCACAAGCCTCACACGGTCCGCATGTCCAACCAGTGCGGCGCACGGCCGCAGCGCGGCGCCCGGCGGGAAGCCGTTGAGCGCCTCGAGGCGCCGTTGATGCGGTAGCGGAGCGTAAGGCGTACCGGCGTCGTGGTCGACGAGCACCTCGATCACCGCGCCGGTCGCGCGGTCCCTCAGGTCGGTGGGCTGCCCGGCCTCGTCCTTCATCACCTGCGTGAGTTGGCCATCCGGGAAGCCCGGCGGCAGTGATGGGTTAGGGAGGACGACCGCTCCGTTGGCGTCGCGGCAATAGCGGAGCAGCCTTCCATTGCCGAGACCCAAGACCCAACTGCAGCGCCCCACCACGTCGAGGCTGATGAGATCCTTGTGCACGCCGATGCGGATGCTCTCGCGGGTGTGGTTGGTGGCCCCTCTTAGGCGCTGAGTGCGTCTAGGGGCTGGTTTGGCTGGTGTGTGTGGGTGGTGCTCTCTCCTCTTCCGTGTGCGTGGACTCGGGGCTCTGGGCTGTTGGCTGATGTGGGGTGTGGTCTGCTGTGGCACGAGGGGTACTGGCGGGTTGGGTGGCTGCAGCCAGCGTGGTGGACTCGCGAGGCGTCGGCGAGGCTCAGGGACTCACGACTGGACCTGTGGCAGTGCTGTATGGGCGCCTCACCCCCCCGGCGCCCCGGCGGTGCTCTGGGTGAGCTAGGCTGGTGTGATCCGGAGGCAGGATGGGTTACGTGCGGCTGGCAGTGCGCTTTCGCCGCCACACAGGCGCCGGGGGCCGTGGGCCCTCACACGCGACCCCCGGCGTGCGTCCGCTGGCGGGCTGTGACCTTGTTCCTTTTCTCTCTTCTCTCCTCTTCACGGGGTCCTTGGGCGACGCGTGTCTGTTTGGGGTGATGTGCTGTATCTTCGCGCTCTCTGCTGACGCTCGAGTGACGCTTGTGGCGGGCCCTCTCGGTTCCTATAACCTGTCTAGGCCGCCTGAGATCCAACGGCCCCGTGCCGGCGGCGGGAGGCTGTGATGATGACATTAGGCGAGCGCGGCATAAGCCATAACATGGTCTCTGGGCTCTTATACGGCTTTAGCTGTGGGGAGCCTGGAGTGAGTGTTCGCGACCAGAACTCTCCCTCGGGGTGGTCGACAATGTATCTTGACGCCAGCCTCGAGATCAATCGCTAGGAAAGCAAACTCCGAATTAGTAATAGAACCACACCATCAATCCTCACTGCGCCGCTTACACCGTCATACGACATACCGCTGCTGGAGGCGCCGACTGGGTCCGCGAGGCTCTCACGCCCACCCCACGGAGATCGGGACCTCCTTCGCAAAGAAGGTCATCCCGCCCTTCCGCACGGGCAGCGCGTACAGCTTGCCGATGGCAGCCCACGTCTCGTCGTCCGCGACCTGTTCACAGACGCGGCTGTGTGAAGAGGCGCTGTTTGCAGCGGTCGGCGCCTCCTGCACGCTGCCGGCCACCTCAGCCCAGACAGTGTGGTCGTGCGACCAGTGCGTCGCCACGCACCCACCGACGGCGCACCTCGGGGGGTAATAATTAGCCGTGACTAGCCCGATATTCGCCGAGATTGACCGAGATTTTCCGAGCTCAGCCGCCAGCGCACCTTGCGGGGTCCATGTGGGCGCTGTACACAAAAAAGTCCGGCCCAGCGCTGCCGCCCGCCCACCTGAGTCAACCAATACGCCACGCATGAATGGCATTGCTCCTAAGACGTCGCCGCCCGCCGCCGCCCGCCGCCCACCCCACCATCCCCTTGCCCATCAGAGGGCCGTGGCAGCCGCACTTCGGGTCGTGCGAAGGGCACCTGTTCACAGCCAGAGCCGTGAAGGGGCGCCGTTCACAGCGCACAGCCGCTCCCCGCCAATCCTCATTTGCGTTCGGCCGGGTGGTGTGTTCACAGCTGCGGTGAACTGCGAGCTCGCGTGAGATCTAGGGCTGCGAATGCCGGCAGCGTGTCGGTTCACGACTCGTGCACTCCGCATTCACCACCAGACCTGCCTCCTTCCGAGAGCTAACGGAAGAGCGAGGCATCTTCCTTCCGAGAGCTAGCCGGAAGAGCGAGGCATCTTCCTTCCGAGAGCTAGCCGGAAGAGCGAGGCATCTTCCTTCCGAGAGCTAGCCGGAAGAGCGAGGCATCTTCCTTCCGAGAGCTAGCCGGAAGCGCGAGGCGTCCTTCCGAGAGCTAGCCGGAAGAGCAAGGCATCTAGGCGAACCGCTTTCGGTCGGTGGGCGGAGGCACGCCGTCGGGACAGCCTCCCTTCTCCACCTGTTCACAGCACGCAGCCGTGAAGAGACGCCGGTCCACAGCGCGCGAGAGCGGGAGACAGCCTCCCTTCACTCCACCTTTGGCGCTGGAGGCTTGCCCGGCGTGCCCCCGCCGCAGTCGATCCGACCCTGCAAGGAAGGGAAGGTACACTTCTCCGCACACACGAGGTGGCGGTGGGGAAAGGGCCGGCCTAGCCCTCGCGACTCCACGTCTGAAAGACAGGAGCCCCACACGGCATTCCCCACGGCATTGGAAGTGCAAGGCCCGGTGTGCGTGGACGAGCAGACCTGCACCAGGAAGGTAAGACAAGGTGAGGTAGGGTCAGGTAAACTTCTCCACGCACGCTGGGGCAAGGGGGGGCAGCCCTCGCACATCTCCACGCCCAGACACAGGCAAGAGCTGGCATGGCATTCAACGTGCAAGGCCCGGTGCGCGTGGGCGAGCAGACCTGCACCAGAAAGTCCTTCTCCGACCGGTACAGGTTGCCCGTGCAGCCGTGCTCCGCCGCGTGCCTGTTCACAGCCAAGCTGTGAAGAGGCGCTGTTCACACACACACACCGGTGCTGCCTTGCTCCGCCGCGTGCCGCACAAACGCGACGCTGCTCGCCGAGTGCTCGGGCAACAGCCTATCAGGGCGGGAAGAGGCCGCTTCGGGGCGGGAGGACGGTGCTGTGCAGTGTATTCAGAGCAGCTCGTGAACCCACAGAGCCTACCTTAAGGTACGTGCTGATCACACCAGCCTCGGGGCGGGAGGACGGTCTTGTGCAGTGCTTTCAGAGCACCGTGTGAACCCACGGGGCTCCGAATGCAGTGAGTGCAGCCGAGTACGGCCGAACACAGCGGAGTCCGTGTCTCCTGGCTGGAATAAAAGACGGCGTGTTCCGCTTCTAGGGGCAGCAGCCTCAGCCGCAGCTCAACCGGCGCCGACGCATCGCCGCCAGGGACCTGTTCACAGCGCAGAGACGCCGTTCACAGCCGCACCGAGGCATCGCCGCCCGGGAGACGCGTGGCCACAACCTCGCGAGTCGGCTGCATCTCGGCTACATCTCGGCTGCATCTCGGCTGTATCTCGGCTGCATCTCGGCTACATCTCGGCTGCATCTCGGCTGTATCTCGGCTGCATCTCGGCTGTATCTCGGACCGCGAGACGAATGGCCACGACCTCGCGCGTCGGAGGCGGCGGCGACAGTGCGACCGGCTGCGGCGGCGGCGGGTAGAGCACGTCTGGCTCCTGCCAGAAGAAGTAGTTTTTGCCCGGAGCGCCTGCTCGAAGATTCGAGAAGGGTGGGGAAAGTTCGTGGCAGGTTCCGGGGCGGTTCTGAGAAGGCTCCGGGAATGCGAGTACGCGGTGCTCTGCAGGGTTTCAGCTGCAGTGTGTTCAGAGCTCGCTTGAGCTCTAGGGCTACGAATGCTGGCCGCGTGTCCTCTCGAGAGCCAGTCGGAAAACCTGCATTCCGAATTCACCCCACCAGACATGTCCTTCCGAGAGCTAGTCGGAAGACGACATGACCTGTCTCCGCATCTATCTAAGACGGAGTGCCGATGTGGAAGAGGTCGGCGCGGCCGGGCGAGGAGGGCGGTCGAGGGAGGCCGCTGGCCAGTCTTGCCTCGTGCTTGATGTGGTGCACGCCTGCGGTGCGGTCATTCGGGGAGAGGCGGTTGCCAGACGAGGCGCAGACTGGTGCCGAGGCGATTGCGTGGTCTGAGCTGCAGCGCCGCACTGCGAGCTTGGTGGGCCCGTACACGTCACGCGGTCTCCGGAAGATGCGATGTGCAAAGGCACGCGCGGTGGTGGGCGACAGGGAGAGAGGGTGAGGCTCGCCCACAATCACGATGAGGCAGCAGATAGCGGCGACGTTGGCCGCGAAGCGAGGGATAGAGCGGCGGCCGCCGAGGCAGCGCAGGAGGGACTGGCCTTTGTGCGCCGCCTTGAAGGGTGGCAGCTCCTCGCCGCCCATGGAGGTACCGGCACCGGTGGGAGTAGGCGTGTGTGCCGCGAATGGCGGGGGGGGGCCAAACTAGTGAATGAAGAATTCTTCATAGAAAAACGCGCGATGAAGTGCACTCCAAGTGCTCAGTCTAAATGTCGACACCAGCCCTTCCCCCGACCGCGTGCTCCCCGTTGCTGCTGGGGGCACCCATCTTGACATCTCCGCAATAGTGCCTGCCGCCCCTGCCAATGTTGTCCGCATATCCTGATATCCACGTCGGGTTGGGTTGTTGCAACTCTGACCGAGGTGGTTTGGCGGCTCGATTCGCACAGCGGTGCCCCACGCGGCGCGTAGGGCGAGGATGAGGCGTCGAAGCGTGTACTTGTGTCTGATGCTGCGGAACATTGACAGCAGCATCGCCGAACTCGTCTTGGGTCTTCTTGTTTCGAGTCTTCTTGCCCGCCGCCGCAGCCTGGCAGGCCATGTCGAGGGGGAGACCCAGGCGGCGCTGCACCGAGATACGCATCGCCCCAAAGATAGTCTCCATATTCGCATGTCGTTGTTGTCTCTCCGCTCTTCCTTGTCGTGCTTGTGGAGTTTGTGCGTCTTGGGTCCGGGGGGTGTTGCGACTTGTGAGTTGTGTGTATTTGTTAATAACAATTTGTTTATTTTTGTTTTTGTTTTGTGTAAGGAATAAAAAGGGGTGGACGCGAAGAGTCCCGTCTCACACTAGCGTTTTGATTCACATGAACACATTGGTCGAGACGTGAAGCGCAACGGCCAACGCGAGAATGTGCATGACAGACTCGAGATGGCATACACCGCCCCCCCCATGGTCCGACCTACAACTTGACATCTCCACTCCCCCCGCCGTCGATGCGACACATGCACGCATGCGAGCAATCCGCAATGAACACATTCGCCGCCGCTCACCATCCGCTGGGCGCGACATGCCGTCTCCCGCGCACCTAGCTCTACGTTGTGCACGCGGCGATGCGGCGGGCTTCGCTCACGGTGTCCGACCCGACCTACCGGCGTAGACCCCGGTCTCCCTGCTCCTCGCCCGCACCTCGCGCCTCACGCGCAGGGCTGGGCGAGCGCATGCGCCGCCATACGGCAGGGCTGCTGCTGCTGCTGCTGCTGCTGCTGCTGCTGCTGCTGCTCCCCGCCCCTCCGCGCGGCAGCGTCCCCGGCCGGCTCCGCCCCCGGCTCCTCCTCCTCCTCCGGGCTCGGTCTCCGGCGGGTCGGCATCAGGTACTGCGTGAGCGACGCCCTCCCGCGGTTCGAAGACCGGCCTCGCTTCGGCCGCGCCTGAGGGGGGGGGGGGTGGGGGGTAGGTAAGGATGGGTAGGTAAGGAACACTCCTCCACACTCACGAGGTGGTGGGGCGAGGGCCAGGGCAGCCCTCGCGACTCCACATCAGGAGACCCACGGCGTTCAAAGTGCAAGGCCCGGTGCGCGTGGGTGAGCGGTGTGAGTGAGTGAGTGTGTGTGTGCACTGTCCCTGTGTGTGTGTGTGTGTGTGTGTGTGTGTGTGTGTGCGTGTGTGTGTGTGTGTGTGTGTGTGTGTGTGTGTGTGTGTGTGTGTGTGTGTGTGTGTGTGTGTGTGTGTGTGTGTGTGTGTGTGTGTGTGTGTGTGTGTGTGAGTGTGTGCGTGACGTTAGCATCTCCGCGGGCCCGAGCCTTCAGAGGGGCGCTCGAGCGCGCAGCAGCGACGCGCTCGTCGAGAGTGAGCGCCTCGTCCGCCACGCCGCCGCCACCGGCGCGGCGGCGGCGATGGTGGTCGTGCGGCTGCGGCGGCGGCTTTTGGACGGGCGCGACGGGCGGCGCCTTGACGCTCCGCCGCCCGCAGCGGGGCGAGGGCGTGTCTAGCAGCTTTCCGTTGGCGAGGATGAAGGTGGTGGAGTGAAGCTTCGAGGCGGAGGCGATCCGGAGCTGCTCGAAGGCCATGATGCCGGGGTCCGCTGTGGAGGGCAGCACCGCGCGCCGCGCCGCGAAGCCGGTGACCGCGAACGTGACCATGGCAGCCTTGCGCAGCAGCTTCTTCAGCTGCAGGGGAGGCAAGCGCACCCACTCCATCTGCCGCGCGGCGGCGGCAGTGCAGCGCTCTGGCGGCGACGGGCGCAGCAGCGCGTCGATCAGCGCGACCGCCTGGCCCGAGAAGGGGCAGGGGCGCTCGAAGCAGCCGAAGACGGTATGCACGACCGAAGTGGAGGGGTCGGCGGTGCACGCGTCGAGGACACGTTTGTACCGCCAGTCGGACACGGCGGCGGCGTCGAAGGGGAAGGAGCCCGAAAGCATCCCGAAGAGGACGACGCCGCTCGACCAGACGTCGGCGGCGAGGCCGTCGTAGCCGCGGCGGAGTGGGACCTGCGGTAGGCACGGCCCTGCTGCTCGGCGAAGATTCGCCGAGATCCGCCGAGATCGGGAGCAGAGAAATGCCGCAGCGCGGGCGCCATGTACGACTTGGAGATATGGGGAGATATGGGGAGATATGGGAGTATGTGGAGAGATATGGGGGAGATCGCACCTCGGGCGCCATGTACGACTCGGAGCCGCAGACGCGCGTCAAGGGCGCGCGGATGTACGGGATGGCGCTGCCCTCGGCTGCCTATGGGGAGATATGGAGAGATATGGGGAGATATGGGGAGATGTGGGACGGCGCTGCCCTCGGCTGCCTTCTCGTAGGCGTGCGCGAGGCCAAAGTCGCACAGCTTAGCGTCGCCATCGGCGGTGAGGACGATATTCTCGAGCTTGATGTCGCGATGCACCACGCCCCGCTCGTGCAGATGCGCCACCGCGGCCATCGTCTGCGCGAAGATCGGCTTGGCCTGCGGGGAAGGTTCCGGGACAGTTCCGAGAAGGCTCTTTGCCGACTCTGCCGCCGCGGGCGCAGGAGCTCGCCTCGCACTCTGTGAGGGCGCCTCGCGCGAGCACAACCTCGAAGAGGTCGCCCTTGGAGGCCAGCTCCATGAATATGTAGCACGTGGTGCCAACCTCCTCGTACCCGCGCAGCCCGATCACGTTGCCGTGGTTGAGGCGGCGCAACATCCGGATCTCGTGCGCGATCGCGCGCTTGCGGTCCATTGAGCCCTGCGTGTCGATCGCCTTGGCGGCGACCACCTGGGGAGCGGGAGGGGGTCGTTGAGAGGTGATCTTTTGATATGTGCTTCGATAGACCTTCGCTCAAGGTCTCGAAGGTAAGCCTGCCGATCTCCGTGTCTACTCGCTGCTCGCATAGCGGAATGGCGGCGGGAGGTGTGACGCACGGCTGCGCAGGAGCAATCGCTTGGCTGGGCGGCGCGGCAGCTGGTGGTGGTGGGAGGCGGTGCCGGGCGGGCTCACCTCTCCAACCTTTGGGTCGATGGCGGCGAGGACTCGGCCGTAGCCGCCGGTGCCGAGCTCGCGTCCGAGCTCGAAGCGGCCGACGCGAGGGCCGGCGTAGGCGCTTTTGCGACCCAGCATGTTCATCATCCACCTGGGAATCTCACCGAGGCGATCGCGGACCTGTTGTGGCTCGCCAAGGTGGTATTATCCACCGCGATTATCAGGGACTTGCAGGACCTCCTAAAAATCTCGAGGTCTCGAGGTGTTGTATGCGTCGTTGTTAATAATACAAACCGATGGTCCCTTGTCACAGTCACACACACACACACACACACACACACACACACACACACACACACACACACACACACACACACACACACACACACACACACACACACACACACACACACACACGCCCCGCTACACTCCCCAGCAGCCTTTCGAGTTAGTTCGCCGGCGAACTGGTTCGTGAACTGGTTCGGTGAACTCGCGGTTCGTTCGGTTTCGGAGTGGACGGCATCCCCTTGGTTCGTGAGTGAGTGAGTATTCTTGATACGAAACCACGACGACACACACCAGTCGACTCGCATTGGTTGCCTCCATGAACGGCGGAGCTATTCTCGCGCCCACACCTTGGTTCGCTGCATCGGTTCGGTCGTTCGCCCTTTGGGTGCCCGAACCCTCGAACTAGTTCGTGAACTCGAGCCTTGGAGCACTTGGAGTGCAGAGCCTGCCCTCTTCTTTTCTCCTCCCCCCCCCCACTCGCTTCACACCCGCAGGCCGAGGAATACCAGGGAAGTTCGTCTGAACTGCGAACGAACCGCGAACGAACCGCAATATTTATTTTTTGGCTCTGCAGGCCTGTAAAGTCCCTGGTTGCCTACTAGAGGCCTAGTACGCCTGGACGCCTCGGGGAGCCCCCGTCTCCCCCATTCTACTCGCCAGTCAGCACGCACGGCGCCCAGGCACCACAGGGCGGCCCTGCTCACAGCGCCTTCATGAGGTACATGCGCAAAAACCACGCCAAGTACGCGAAGGCGTGAGCAAGGAGGCGTCGAGGCTGAGCGCCCCCCCCCGCCCCCCTCCCCCTTTTCAATGGTCCGCGGCGGGCGGCGGCGCACGCACCGGGGTAGTCGCGCCCGCAGTCCGCTAGATTGCAGACTGTCGCGGACCGACAGAACTGTGCTACGCGCTCTAGTGCCGCCCCTGTGTAATTGGGCACCCCCTGAGATTGAGAGGGCCAGACCGCGTCCGCCGAGCGCGCGGCTCGTGGCTGAACTGCACACGCCGAACGAACGAAGTTCGATGATTTTCTTTTTCCTAAGTTCGAGGGGAGTCTCTGGGCCGGCGCGGGGCCCCCCGGAGGCACCGTGCGCCGCGCCGCAGTGCGGAAACGGGGCCCCGGCTCCACTAGTCTCCACTAGCACCAACTTCCCGATTAAGTACGGTTAAGTAGAGGGCAGATTTGGAGAGATCTCGAGGAGTACATACAGATAGACCCTCCAACCATCAGAAAACTCCGACCTGATCGGTCGTACTGACCGCCGACAGATCACTCCAGACAGCAGACAGGCCGACGTCTGCACGCGGCCGGCCGGGCGAGAGGCTTGACACGATCCGACCCTGCGACCCTGACGCTGCTGCTCTAGCTATCAGCCATGCACTGCTGACTGCTGCCACAATGTGCGACCTGTGCTGGCCCACTTGGCGGCCTTCCCGGTCAGTGGTGAGGCGCAGTTCAGAGCTGTCGATGGCGCGATGCCGCACTGGTCCCACATTGGTGACACGATACCACCACGTTTGCCGGTCCAAGAGAGAGGCACCGGCGCTGTCCTGAGAAGGTGCGTGGTCCCTCTTGACTGCCCATGCGCGCGAGGCTGTGTAGGCATAGCCTCGAGAGTGCCAGCAGCCAATCCGAGGCAGTTTGTGACGCGCATTGCGCCAGAAGCGTGCACACGATGGAAGGACACCTTCCTACTGGCCGTACGATCAGGTCGTCACTGAATGCTTGATACTAAGGCCGCGAGCTATGCAGGTGATCAATTGTGCATCATGGCACGGTCAGCTGCGCCGACAGGCTGTCGCAAGGCGTGATAGCATGGCCGCAAGTACGCCGAATTCCCATGAAAACAAGTAAAAAACTCCAAAAAAGAAAAACAATCCAAAAAAATCGGCGCCTGCGGCGGGCCATGGGACCCCATCTCCCCCCCGCATGGACACCCTCTGGGGCCCCCGCGCCGGCCCAGAGAGGGGAGTTCACTAACGTTCGTCCGTTTTCGCAGTTCGCGCCTTCCACAGCCGTGGCGGTCCGTTCACTTTCGAGGTTCGGGCTGGGCCCCGCCGGCTGCGTTCGTTCGAGTTCGGAGTTCACGAAATCCGCGCGAACTCGAAAGGCTGCTCCCCAGGCGACCTCGCGCGACGACGCGCTGCCGTAAGTGAAGCTGTCGAGCCCTGCGATGCGCGAGCTGCGCTGCTCAAGAGTGGACCTCTGAGCTACCGCGGACTCGGCAGCGGCCATGTCTCACGCGAGCTGCGTTCCAGCCTTGCTGCCGCCGCGCCCGCCCGCTAGCGCGCCCGAGGCAAGGAGCAGCACGAGGGCGGCGAGGATGTAGATGTAGGGCGGCGACATGAGCAGGTCGAGCAGCTCCTCCGGCGAGAGCGTCGTCTCCTCGCCGTAGTAGCCCGAGGCGGGGATCATCAAGTGCGCGAAGTCTGTGCCCGGAAACATGGTGTAGGGCTCGCCGAGCGAGAAGTCGGAGGTGAAGGCGTCGCTCAAGGCCGCTGGGTCCTGAGGGCGCGCAGGGAAAGGCTCGGGCCCCGCGGGAGGGGGGAGAGGCGGGGGAGGGGGAGGGGGAGGGGGGGAGGGGGGTTGGCGGGCGTGCCTTTGGGAACATCATCAGGTGCGGCCCCGACTCGATCCACTGATCCGGGCCCGCCTCCTCCTTTGAGGTGACAAACGGGTCCGTGTTGTCGAAGCCCAAGTCGCCTGTCGCGGCAAAAGGAAGGGAACCAATAGGCGAGGAGGTCCGGAGGCGCGGGTCCTCCCCACCGCCTCTCTCCCCTCTCGAGTGCCAAGAAGCGCAGGCGACGAGGGTGGCTGGCTGCGGTGTACGGGCAAAGGCTGATGGTGGCAATGCTGTTGGGGTCTGCGGCGAGGGCGGAGAGAGCAATCGCCTTGCAGCATCCAGACAAACGCGTCGCGCTTCATGAGCGGCTTCTTGCGCGCCATCCAGCCCTTCATCCAGTCGAGGCCGGCCGCGTCAAAGCAGACAGGCGCCGCCTCGCGCGCAGACGCCCAGACGCCGTCTTCCGACGCGGGCCCGCTGGGGTTGGCCGGCATGCATGTCCAACCGTTCGTGCCGTTCCGGAGCACCTTTTGCGTGGAGTCGAGGATGGTCGCCTAACACGACTCCGCGAGTGTGTCACCTAACACGACTCCGAGAGGGCACGAAACCAAGGACACACGAGTGATCGATCGCCTTCGAGCTGAGAAAGCTGGGCGCGGCCGCGGAGTAAGCTTCGATCTGCCACTCAATCGAAGCGTGGAGGTCTATGGCCGCAGACAGCGGGAAGAGGAGCGCGGGCAGCATAAACTGTCGTGTCCGCGGTCAATCACGGCGGCCAAAAAAAGAATTTTAGAACAAAACTCCCTCGCACGACATGTAACAAGGGACCGGCAGGTGGCGGCGTCGCAGGACGAGGCAGAAGAGAACAACGCGACAGAGGAGGAAGTGACAAGGGAGAGAACGACGAGGGTGGGACGACCGCGAGGTGGCATGAAGGTTGCAGCGAGAATCGGCGAGAGACTGCGAAGAGAGATAGGAAGAGGCAGACTCCCTAGGGTGGGCGACGGATAGCGCACCACACACCTCTCCTTAAAATCCCTGTGTGGTGGCGGCGTGCCGTCCTCCCATCCCTCCCTTGGGTTGTCTGTTTTCTTTCTTTCTTTCTTTTAGACCGGAAGGAGGACGGGGAAGATGACTCAGAGGAGGACGAACCAGTGGAAATTCAGTTGTCAGATGTCACGATGCATCCGAAGGGGACTCCAGCGCCGGCATCATCCGTAGAGGCACGAGTGTTCGAAGAGAGAGTGGACCTGAGCAACAACATGACCTGTAGGTAAATGCTCGGAGTGGGAGTCAGAAATGTGGTCCTTGCGCGATGGGGTCCTTGTGGCGGGCCACCCTGTCCAGAGAGGCATGGATACGTTGTAGTCTCGCACATGCTTTAACAACGACGCAACGCTCTCTCTCTCACACACAGGACACACAGCCACAGTTTTTATAATTTATTTATTCACAAAAATATAAGGGTGTATCACGCAGAATTCTTTTTCTCAGACTCACGCTCCGGCGGTGTTGGTGAAGAGCTGACGCGGCGGCGGCACAGCACAGGGTATGTCGGCTCGCCGCGCTCAGCAGGCGGCCAAGGCCAGCGCCGACTGGGACTGGGAGGGCGACGACGAGGAGTGGGGCGACGCGTGGTCGGACAGCCCCGCCGCCAAGCCCTCCCGCGGCCGGCCGCTCCTCTCGTCGCTGGCAAACCGAGGAGGAGGAGGCGGAGGCGGCGCCCCGTCGGCTCGGCCGCCACCCGCGGCGCGGCGCCGCTCGACGACGCGCTTCGTCGTCTGCGCCTTTGCGCTCGCCCTCCTCCTCCTCCACATCCAGACCCGGATGAGCCGTGTGGCGACGCACCAGGCGTGCCTCTGCCGCCGCCGCCGCCCGCCTCCCGCGATGCAGTCTCCGCCTCCGCCGCCCCACCGAGCCGCACACACGCTGTCCGCCCGCCCAGCCCTCTCCTCGACTCAACGGCACCACTCCTCCCCCACACGAGGCTTTGGCACTGGGTAGCTTTGGCGCTGGGGACACCAGCCCTCCCTGTCCCCGGAACCTCTTTGCGCCTCTCTTCAGGCGACGGCGGCGGTGGCGCCGGCTGCGTCGGCGGGCGGGACAGGCACCGCTGGCGCCCCAGGCGCCCGTGGCGTGCGGCACGGCCCCAACGAGGCGCCGTCGGTCGCCGGCGCAGCGGCGCAAGGGCCCGTGAGCTCTGCCCCGGAACCTTCTCGGACCCTTCCCAATCAGGCGGCCGGGGCGTAGGAGGCCGAGGGGCGCGGGCGCCCGCTCACGTCGC